GATTGATAATATCCAGGTGTGCAAGGGAACCGAGCGATGGAGTTTCGCGCGTTTTCAAAGTTAGCTAAATTTGAAAAGTGATTTGAGATGGATTTTCATTTTAAAACATTTTTATTACAGATTAAAAGAACTTAGGAGGTGCATAATAGGAATATTAATGAAGACGAGGCATTTCAAAACATTTGTTTTCGTAAGTCAGGGCAAAACTATGTTTATGAAAACAATAAATGTTGAAACGAAAAACTTTAACTCACACTTATCTACTGAAGTCAAATTAATATACTTTTTTGTTACGATTAAAATTTGGTTTAAATTCCTTTAGGTGGATGGCATTTTGATAACATTTGCATAACTAAAATATCAAACAGCAGCCTGCACTACAAGTGATCTACAATTTTCAGACCCACAAAATACAGCCTCTCTATTACTCGAAAAAAATAATATAGGAAGTTCGATTCGAATTATCTCACGTGAACGATCTTAGGAGGTTGCTTCAGTTATTGATTCGATGCCCCCGAGGAACTGGTTCAGACACTATGAACGTTATAACCCCTATAAGGAATTGTTGGACATCGATTGGTAAAAACGAAATTTAAGGTTCTTCTACGAAAGAAACGAATATATGAGCTGACAACAAGAAGATCGGAAGAGCGAACACAAACCTAAAATTCTTTTGAAGTTTGATTAGCACTATTTTTTTGTGAGGAGAGCAAAGTATTAGGGGAAAAAACTAAGATCTTTTTTAGGTGAAGAGTTGAGCTTACGAAGCAGAGTGTCTGTACCTCAGCAATTCTAGGTTCTTGTAGAACTTTTGCAGCAGCATGTCGAACGAGCTGAGAGACAGCTGCATCGCCAAAAGTCGCTCCCAACTCGGACGTAGAAACGAGTGTAAACCACAAAAAGAATATGGCAAAAGTCAGCATTCCCGAATGTTGAATAGATGAGCAAGGTCAAAACCTAGCCATCTCAGTTTAAATCTCCAGTAGAAGCTGAATGTTAGAAAGTCCGACGCGAAATGACTCCTCCGAACTTGGATTGCTTAGTTCATTCGGGAGAAACGAGTAAGGGGCGACGAACCAGTAGTGGGTGGGAGAGCGGGAGACGACTGGCGCGGTGCCGTCTTCGCAAAACCGGGGCAGACGTCAGTGACGGGGCGGGACCCCCGTTCGCACTCTCTGAAATGCGTCCGCTGATCGCGCTCAAACTCGCTGGCCTGGTCCAGCTAGCTCACCTTGTTCCTCAACGCGACTTTCATCCACTCTTAGATGCACCTCCTCATTTGCCTGGGGTTCGGCTCAGAGTATTTCCATCTGGTATCTCATATCTGAGTCAGGTAAAGTGATCTTCAGTTGAAGGGCTTATTTATATTTTGTTATCAAGCGAGATAGAACAATAAGTTCTTCGAATGAAGAAATGCAGTCATTTTTGGACAACATCGGGATAGAACTTAGTGTTGCTTTTACTGACTTGAGGTTGCCAAGCTAATTTCTCACCCTTGCTTTTTACACTATCTCTTACACATCAAAAACTTACCGTAAATTAGGGCAAGGGCGCTTTTCTTCCCAAAAACATCACATTCAACAAATGACTAATGCTATAGGAATCCCTTTACTTCACTGCTAGGTCAAAATCTCAAAGAAAAACAAGCCTATACACGGCAATAAGTTAGAACTAAGAAACCCCACTGCAAAGTTTTGAAAATTTTTGAAAATT